AGTAATCTTTATAAGTAGACTATCTCACCGTTGGCTTTTCTACGACAAAGAGGAACACAAGCAATTAGTACTACGGCATTTTCGCTGTCTTCTAAGCTTCTGTTAATCGTTCAGCAACTTCGCTATGTATGAAATGCAAATAATTTAGAACCATCGTTTCAATTTTAAATCGATAAAACTTACCGGCCACGTCAAGTAAGGGCCACGTGAATACCAGATCACGCAGTTTGGTGTCGTCGCCATGTTCTGAACGATTTGAGTCACCAATTTGAGGAATCACTTTTTCACTTTGAGGACTGCAATTATTTTCTTCAGTGCTGTTGACTCCCTTGTTTCTGCCTGAGGATTCGAAAGGTGAACAAATCGCGAGGTCCAAATGTCTGAGGCGGTCGCTTCTGTGCCATTCCTTTGGGCTTGTCTGTTCCGGGGTCGGGGTTGCCATCGGTGAATACGAGGACCAAGAAGTGGTACTGGTACCATTGGAGTTGCTTCTGGAAGAGCCGACGATGTCGAAAGTGTTTCTTTCAATGAAATTGTCGTCTTCAACGCAGTCCAAGAACACGTCTACATCATTTGAGTTAATTTCGTTTTCCTTCAACAGTTTTCCAAAAAGTTCGTCATCTAAAAATGGTCAAATAAACTAGTTCACTCTGACGTTCGAAATGATCGTTGTTTACCTTCAGCCGGCAGGCGGGACAAGGAACACAACTTTGGCCTGAAACACGGCGGATTTCTGCCAATGAGCACGCATCGCTTGTGGCACCTGAACGAACAGTTTTGACATCCAAATCCAATGCCGACTACGATTTTCTTGCAGTAGCCGCATTTCTTGGGCAGTCCAAAAAATGTTTTGCTGAACCTGTAAAAAACACGGGCCATTGGTCGATTCAGCGGTCATTCAAAGATGAAACGATACCGACAGTTGATGGCGAAAGGGAAGCAGTTGTTGCCATCCGTGGGTGTGGTGCATATTGTCTGGAGGCGCTGCGAGAGTTGTCGCTTCTGGTAGCTGTCGTCCATGGTCTCGCAATTCATGCCACCAGGAACACAGCTCATGCCATTGTCGCCGCAGCTCATGTCCCCGTTCGTCGGTCGGTCATCTACAAATTCTAAGCGTTATGTGATGCCCTTGCGATGCTGCGGCCGACCAGCTGCTCATCTGCTGCACTGAAATCATCCTTTAACACGAACATTTCATTCATGTACCGTTTCAAGCGACAAAAGAGCAAGAAAAAGCTGTCTCGTCGAACTTTGCATACTGAGTAGGTTGTTCACCGAAAACAGGAGTATTTCATCTCGCTTTTGTGATCCTTTGGTAGCACACGCTTTATCTCTTTTTCCTCAGCTTCCTCCTCAACGCACCGACCTCAAATTTAACAAAATGGCAGCAACATGCACCGGTGCCTTTGCACCGCGTCGCGTCGCTGCACCTTCAGATTCGCCATGCTACGACCGACGCAATGCGATTGAAAATGAGCTGTTCAATGCTTAATATGGTGGTAAGATGCAGCTGAAGCTTTGCTTTTGTCGCAGTTCAGTGTATAATCTAAACGCTCCGGAAGAGCCACATGCTTGCGCACTGGCGAATGACGTGCTCATGCATCTTTTGCACTGAAAACGTCGCTCGCAGCTGATCGTTTTTTGAACAGCACCCATGCGGTGAAGGCAAACAAGGAACGAAAAAGCAACCAGAGACAAAAAGAACTTACGACGAAGCTGACTTCTACTCTAATGTACTCATGTAAGGTAACGCTGCCGGTGCCTAGCTCACGAGTTTGTTTGCGCTGTGCGTAAGAGCAATATTTATTTATCGAGGCGGCAGTCACCAGTCGCAGTACTGTCACTGTAAACAGAGAAACTGAAGTTTTACCAGACGATGGAAATCGATTGTCATTCATCACGGGGTTACAAGAAAGTCTTTTTTGGTCCTCTGCCTTTGGAGTGAAATATCACACTGAATGACCATGAAAAGTTTGAGGGTAGGGTTTGAAGTCGATAAATATCTTTTCCTTGTCGAGGAAGCAAACAGTCTATTGCCCACGGCGAGATGTTGCGATCAACGGGCATTACGAATCTTACATTACTGCTGAAGATGATTAGGACAAACATTGCCACCATCATAACTACTCTTTGCCCAGAATATTTGAATCATGAATATGACTTAAGATTAATCATTTTTTCAACCATGCTAAATGTAACTCTGAATTAAGAATTGTACGCATATGACACAAACAACAGTGCCATGAACAGATGTTTTCACTGTTCTTTCTTTTGAGGCCTTGCCAACTGATGTTCTACGGGCACGTGCACCGTCGAATAAACAAGCTATGTATTTTCAGTGGTCCTTGGCTCGGCTATTCACTATACATCCATAGTTCGGCGATTACCCAAATTTCAGTTTGTGCCTATGGTGACACATCTGCTGCTTCCTATTTTATGCGATATGCGCTCGTCATATGTTCCTAGTGCCTTTACAATGGCGCTATTCCCGGTGCCCTTCATCTCTTAAAGTTCAGTGTGGGCCGCCGTTCTCCATCTTCATACCATCAGCCAGAAGTGCCTTCTCTTACGGTAGAATCTACAACTATGTCGCATACATACAGTGTAGTCTATCGTTACCTGCCTACAGAGGGGTACTGATTGGTCAACCTCAAGAAGCAGAGGCAAGGTAACCTGACCATGACTCGAACCTGAGACTTCCCGGATTTAAGTTAGATGTTGTATCGACTGAGGAGCACCATCCTCAAATCAAACGCATCATTCATCACAACATAAAACATTTTACTTCTCTGGTTTATGAAACTTTAACCGATGAATTCGTTCAATTCTTGTAGAAAGCTTTGTTCTTACTGTTGCTGGCAGCCATCCACCGAGGAGATTACCAAACAATATTTTAATTTGCTCTTGAGGTGGTGATAGTGAAAATAACCTCAGCTAACCTCACACTGAACAACTTACGTCAAATACAAAACTAAAGATTGATTTACTGATTTACCACCCTTATCACTCTATCATATTGCTTCCCATTTAACAGGTTATTTTGTTTGTATTATTTGCTCTATGATCTCAAAGGAGTACAGGAATTACTTTCATTTTGCCTATTTTTGTAGAATTAGTCTGTTTTTGCTTCAATTCCAAGTGTTTGCAATTGAGATGCAAACGTTAAGCATTAATATACTAAATTAAAGGTTCTGAATGAATATTTTCAAACCTAGCTAGAGTTTATTCTTTATGAATTGATAGCGTTGTCACAATTTCCTCAAAGAAAAAACATCTAAGGAATTCTCATTTAAGGATTAACTCATTTCAATTCTAGTTTTCAATAAACTGGCATTTCAGTGGCTCTGAATACAACGAAACAGAAGGAGGTGGTATTTACCAGAACTGTTGATGTTTCAGTCAAACAAGTGCTTGCCCTGAGCGAGCAAAGCCAAGTCTGTTTCGTTATGGTTACAACCACTGAAGTATCAGTTTGTTTAAAACTTGCACTATTATCGTAGTTTTCCTGTGATGACTTGAGGCCAGAGTGAGACGATGAACAGTTTCACTTTTTTTGCTAAACATTCTGAACAAAGTTCCATATCTTGGAGAAAACAAGCCAATTTTTCTCTGACCAAGTCCCAACTGGACAAATTCGATATGTAGACATCAACACGGGCGAAATTACCAATAAACAGAGATCCAAACATGTATAGTAGCTATTGATATTAGGCAAAGCGGTCACTGAGTTAAAGCACGGTATTAAGACATGGTCACCATTCATGCAGATAAAGTACATGATTGACTCCAGTAGAGAAGGCTCATAAAGCTTCCCTGAAGACAGGGTACAGATTTAAAAGAGACACAGATGAAGAAGTTCTGAAACTGGGATTTACTGAAATTTTTGACATAACAGAAAAAGCATGCAACGGTAAACAACGGTAAACAACTGCAGTAATAACAAGAGAATAAAGCGTTCTGCTGCATGGCATAATACATCTTATGTAAGCATCCCCCCTCGCAGGCACATTAATTCATTCAGTGACAACTTGTGATCAAAGTATTCTTCCCTCATGAGGAAGCCCGTGGCTTGAACTCTTCTTTACCCGACCGTTTCAACGTTTCCGATGAACCCTTACAGTTATAACGGCTGGTGAGAAAAATACACCGTGCTTTGTCATGCCATCGCTTGTCCTTATTTAAACCATTGTGTAATTTTTATAGCCTAAAGAGAAATTTGACTTCATAAAGATCCGGACCACATGTTACTTAAGACCAGACGACTCATGTAGATCCAAAATTCGAGAGCTGGTAATGACTCCAAATTTCTGAAGCAAATTTGTTCAAGAGACCGCATGCATTAAAATGATAACCATAATCGTTTATTCCACACATTATCATCGTCCATAACCGCTTTTCCTTTCGGGTCGCGGAAGGAAAGTATTCCAAAGAAATCATGGCAATACGTCTAGCGACAAAGAAGAAACGCATGCGTTTGCACTTGTGAGCAGTGCCTCTGAGGTAAATATTCCGGGAGGAAAAAAGTGGGAAAAGTTGAACTAGATCTCCATCGCCCACAAAATGTCGCAAAAGGTGTTACGATTAATGTCTACTCATTTGAGGAAGTACCTGAAAGTTTCTGCCTTCTCTATATGTGCTATAGGAATGACAAAAGAGTCATTATCATATTACATAATGAGAATAAATGACAGATTATCTCCAACGATATTCATTTACTTTTTAGAAAAATGTTCAATAAACACTCAGTAAAACTAAACAACCCAAGAGGCGGTCCGAAGCCTGTAATTAGAAGCCAATCTTGCAACCTTTTCTTTCTTTATCCAACCTGAAAAACATTTTCTTCAGACCATTGTCAGCTTTGATTACGGACTAAGATATCACCTTTGTACACTATTATTGTGTTGTAAACGAAATACTGTAGTGCGTTCCGTAAACGATACATTTTATCCATATGTGAACATTTTTTCAGGTTTTCAACCGTTTTATCGATTGATGTGAGGAGCCTGTTGATGTAATGATTTTGTAAGTTTAAAATTAATGCCGACTTATTTCAAAGAAAAATCAGAGGAAATTAATATTACAGTTATCAACGGGCTGACCAAATATTTACCGATATGACAAACAAAGCAATCATTAAATTGAAAACGTCATCCTAAAATAAAGCCAAACAACAAATAGGAGGATACACTTACAGTTGACAACGGCGACAAGATCTCGACGAGGTGTTGAGCACAGTAAAATCACCATTTTGGACGAGTGTCGAGACTATGACGTAGCATTGGTTAACTGCATACGGGGGGCGACAGGCAAGGCGGCACAGTCTGAAAGAGAACCATTCGTCACACTGAACTTGACCGATAAATAGTACGGGTCAACGGTGACGTGTAATTGGGACAAAGCTAAATGAGCTAGACTGGACGGTCCCATTGTTCAAACAAAGTTGTGCCATTAACGGCGGCACCGAAGGGAAATGCGTCACTTTAATCCTACGCCGTGAGGCATAATTGTGTCAGCGTGCCGTAAGATGACCACGTCTGGGCCATTATGCGTCT